CTAAGTTGTCCTTTAAGCCCATTGAAAACTATTTACTATTATGGTTCTCTACAAAATAGCACGGGAAATTAAAAAGATCCCAAAAGACAACCCAGCCTGTACAGGAACCTCTTTCAGGCCCCCAGTCTTTGCTGTATGGGTTCATGGAGCCTTTGGGCAACCCCCAAACCGAAATTTCGGGAAGCCCTACCCTAAACCCTAAATCCCTAAACCCTAAACCTCTAAACCCTAAAACCCTAAACCCTACAACCCTAATCCCTAAAACTCTAAACCCTAAAAACCCGAAAACCCTAAATCCTAATTCCTAGGCCCTCTAGGCACTACTGAAGCACCGCAGACCCGAGTTGGCTGTTTTCCGCCTTTCATCTGCCGCTTTTCGTGCAGAGGAGTCCGCGCCGAGTCCTATACGCGACTCGACAACGGTAAACTCCTCAACCTTACCTGGGAGCCCCATAAACCGTCTTGAAGGATCTGCGAAATAACCAGGGGCTCTAGGCTACGGTTTTGTATGGTGTCCGATAGCATCAGAAACGCTGAGTCATGCTTGCTCCAGCTTTGTATCCTGTTGGGCTCCACTTAATGCATGGTTTGTATGGTTAATTTTAGAGTCTTAGAATCCTTAATTAAATCCTAAACCCTAAACCTCAAACCTTATGAACTAGTATAGAAACCTTATGGACTTGTCTAGAAACCTTAGAATCCCTAAGGCATCGGATTCAACGCGTCCAGGGTGGCGGCGGCGTTCTTCAAGCGCTCTTGGGATCCGAAGAGACTCAGAGCTTGCTTCTGGAAGAGCTTCTCCCTGAGATGGACCCAGAGACTCCAATACCCCTTAATTAAGGAATATACTGTAAATTATAGTAGGATCCCTAATAAGATTTAAGGTATATTCCTTAATTAAGGGGTATTGGAGTCTCTGGGAGTCTTTGGAAGGTTCGGGCTCAGGGTTTAGGAAATTTAGGGCCTAGATGGAGACTTGTCGAAGCTTAGGGTTTAGGGTTTCTAGGGCTTAGGGCCTAGATGGAGTCTGTTCAAGCTTAGGGTTTAGGGTTTCTAGGGCTTAGGGCCTGTATGGAGTCTTTGGAAGGTTCGGGTTCAGGGCTGAGGGCCCAATATAAAAGCCTATATTACTACCAATACTATTCCTTAGGCTTCCTCAGTACAACTGTACTATCAAGGAGCCCAAAACCCTGTTCGAAGTATTGAGGCCCCTGTAGTAGATGGAGTCTTTGCCAGGCCTCTTTAAGAGTCGCTCAGGGGCTTCTATGATGTGGGAATGCTTCTGGAAGAGCTGCTCTCCCTGAATCCTAAACCCTTAATGTAGGGGCCTTAATAATTGGACTAGGATTTTTTCGGTTATATTGTACTGTAATTATAATGAGGACCCCCCCAAAATACCATTGGTAAATATTGAGGCTTCTATATTACCTGTGGCCCAAAAGGCATCCCTTTTAAGGAGCTATAAATAGAAACCATAATCAGGAACCCTAAAAAAGGAGGTCTTTCGGCTACAAGTACACATGAAACCCTAAACCCCGAGAAAGGGTCGGTGTAGCGATTCCTTGCAGTTGACTCCTTGAAGGGCTTCTTTAAGGATGCGTTGAGGATTAGGTAGGGTTTAGGGCTTCGGGATCTTCTGGAAGAATCTATTTTTTGAGGAAGAGTCTCTTTAGGGTGATTTGGGATTCACGATTTAATTAAGGTTTGAATGGGTTTTGCGTGGGTTATGTAGGGTTTGATGTCAAAGAGCTTCTCCGAGTGTGCTTTCACAAATCCTGGTTATGTGTCTACAAGGCCCTAAACCCTAAACCCTAAACCCTAAACCCTAAACCCTAAACCCTGCTTATGTGTCTACAAGGCCATTATGGAGTTGAGGAGTTTGGGGGTTCGGGCTCTGTGATGTCGGGCTTGACGGTTTAGGGTTTAGGGTTTAGGGTTTAGGGTTTAGGGTTTAGGGTTTAGGGTTTAGGGTTTAATGCAAAAAGCTGAAAATGGTGGCATGCCTCTGCAGACCTGCAGGACCAACTTCTCTCGAAGCCTAAGAGCCCTGAGAGCCCTAAGCCCAAAGCCCTGAACCCTAAACCCTATAAACCCTAAACCCAAAGCCCTAAACCCTATAAGCCCTAAACCCTAAGTCCTAAACCCTAAACCCTAAGCCTTAGACCCCTGGGTGTACTGCTCTTCGACTGAACCGTGAGCCTTTTCCTGCAGCCGACACCAGACCCTGCAAGTACCATCGGACCCAGACCTTCCAAAACCGCTTGAGTTAAGCAATATACCCTATACCCTAAACCCTAAACCATATGAGGGTTCTCCAGAATTGAAGGTATATTCGTTAATTAAGCCATGTGCCTTCAATCATATTAGGGTTCCTACCAGAATTTAAGATAGATTCCTCAACTAAGAGATTCGGGAATGTCTAGGAAGTATGTGTAAGTGTATGAATGAATGTAAACGTCCCTGTTACGCCTCAGCCAGAATTCCTACAGCCCGAAGCCCTTGGCAAAATACCGAAAACATGTGAACACCCAGCTGTGCAGAAAGTTAGACCCCAAAACCTAAACCCTAAACCCTAAACCCTGAACCCTGAACCCAAAACCCAAAACCCTGAACCCTAAACCCTAAACCCGAAGCTGTGCAGAAATATGAGGCCACATCAAACCTCAGGGCCAAGCGCCCAAACAGTACGGTTTAGGGTTGAAAGGGTTTAGGGGTTTGGGGGTTTAGGGCTTTCGGCGTGTAGGGGTTTAGGGCTTTAGAGGTTTAGGGGTTTAGGGGTTTAGGGCTTTAGAGGTTTAGGGGTTTAGGGGTTTAGGGCTTTAGAGGTTTAGGGGTTTAGGGGTTCAGGGCTTTAGAGGGTTTAGGGGTTTAGGGGTTTAGGGGCTTAGGGCTATGGAGGTTTAGGGGTTTAGGGGTTTAGGGTTTAGGGTTCAGGACCCAAGGGCAAGGGTTTACGGGATTCTCAGAAACGACTCACAGGCAGTGTTTGGAGCCTACAACTCCACCATGTTGAGTACTTGGATATTATGTTCCAGACCAAGCCGCGCGAATCTGTAGATCTCGGTGCTTTTGTTGCCAATGTACGTGGCGAGTCGATACTCTTCGTCTATCCAGTCCAGCTTCCTGTTGCGGCTTTTGTTACATGGCTGTTCACAAGGCTGGGTTGTAGTTTCGGCGCCCCCAAACATTATGGATGATTAGGTACCTCTCTATAGGGACCGTAAGGGCACTTAACAAGTTTCCCACAGGTCCACCTAGCAAGGCTTACAGCGTATTCTTGCCTGTCTTCAGGATCCCACAAAAGGGTGCTCTCCCAGACAGGGCTTAGGGTTTTAGGGTTTAGGGTTTAGGGTTTAGGGTTTAGGGTTTAGGGTTTAGGGTTTAGACTACTGCCTAATGTTCATTTAGTCCTAAATTTGGCTAACAGCGGCAACCCCAAAGCAGTAAAGGAACCTGAAGCGGAGCCTTAAATCCTAACCCCAAAACCGAAAGAAACAAACCCAAACCTTTCCCCTTTTAGCAGTAGCCCTTAGAGTCTTAGAAGGAACGCGCAAAAGAACCATGAAAGGACCTTCAACAAGACCCTCAAGCAAAAACGACCAAAACCGGTTTGGGGTTTCTAGGGCAATGCCTTATAGCACCCATCCGTAAGATAATTCCCCTTTAGAGGAACCCTGTACAAATCGCATACCTCCTTGGCAGGAGCCCCTGAAACACAGGGAACCCTTCAAAGAATCCTCGAGAAAAGGAATCTTTCAAGGAACCCTTAACAGGAACTGTTTACAGAAACCATGTGCGAAAACCCTTACACGGAGCCCTAAAGCCTACAGTAAAACTTATCACCCTAGGGTTTAGGGTTTAGGGTTTTGGGCTTAGGGCTTGGAAGGTTAAACCCCCCTAAACCCTAAACCCTAAACCCTAAACCCTAAACCCTAAACCCTAAACCCTAAGCCCTAAGCTTTACAGAAGCCCTCTAAAGGAGGAGGCCTGGCCCCCTCGTTCTTGTGGTCCATTATACTATAGTTTAGGGTTTAGGGTTTAGGGTTTAGGGTTTAGGGTTTAGGGTTTAGGGTTTAGGGTTTAGGGTTTAGGGTTTAGGGTTTAGTATAATTAGAATAAGGACCCCCCTCCCCCAAAAAATAGTCTAGGTAATTCTTTAGGCCCCTATTTCCCTTGGCCGCAAAGGACTCATATGTTAAGGCTTTTGGGCCCAAAGACCATACTACTGTAAGGCTTTTTGGCTAATTTATCCTACGGCTCCTAAGAGGGTCTTGGGCTTTCTGGGGGAGGGTTTCGGCTTTGGGGGCCAGGGTTTGGGATCTCACCACTAGGGTCCAGGAGCCCTAAACCCTAAACCCTAAACCCTAAACCCTAAACCCTAAACCCTAAACCCTAAACCCTAAACCTTAACCGTCTACTTTAAGCCCTAAACCAGGCCTGGACCCCTCGTTCCGGAAGCCCACTTCCCGGCCGATCATCGCCATGTCCCAGGCCGACAGTCCTTGGCTGACTGAACCCCTCAAAGTGAAACTTTTTAGCTCCCCTATCCCTTAGCATCAAAATAGCCCAATAGCCCTAAACCCTAAACCCAAAACCCTAAACCCTAAACCCTAAACCCGCCTTACATAATAAGGTCTTTGGGCCCCAAAAGCCTTAAAATATGAGTCCTTCGAGTCCTAGGGTATTATAGTTCATGTAGAAACCCAAAAAGCTAAAGTCCCAAGAGACACCCACAAGTACGCCAAGAGTCCATAAAGCCGACCCAAGGTGACCAGTCCTTTCAAGGGGTTTGGGGTGTAGGGTTTAGGGTTTAGGGTTTGGGGTTTAGGGTTTAGGGTTTCGGGGGTTCCTTGAAACGGTCCTCTTTAAGGTTCTATACAGTACTACAGGGGTTTAGAGTTTAGGGTCTAGGGACTTAAGGTGACTAGTAATTTCAAGGGATTCCTATAACGTGCTCCTTCCCTTGAGCCTTTGGGTCTTCAACAATACTGTAGGGCTGCAGGGGTTCAGGGTGTGCGTGTGTGTTTAGGGCTAGGTAGGGTTCTCGTGTTAAC